AAAATATTGAGTAGGAAAAATATTTTAAATATCACAACCTGACCGTGTGTAATTATATTATCAACACTAAACTTCTATTTCTATTTTTTTTTTTACATTTCACTAAATGTTTTATTGTCTGCTATTACCTATACATTTTTTTTTTATAGTCATATTAGTCATTAATTATGTTTTATAAGCATTTTAATTTACAATTTTTGTATTAATAAAGCTTTGAATTTTCCTTAAAAGTAACAGTAAACATGTAATAAACTGTTTAATTTTAAGTTCTCTAGAATATATATGTTTAGCAACTAAAATGTTTACTCTTATTAAAATTGATTAAAAGCAGTTAASTTGATTATTATTATTTTTYTAAATTCATAATTCTAAAATAATATATTAAAACGTAATCAAATAATTTAGGTTTAGGACATAGTTTAGCACAAAAAATAATTTTTTATAACTAAGGAATTAAATACTTACTACAATTGTTTTTCACAAAAAGAAAAAAGTTACATACAGTCAATTTAATAGAGGAACAAAACCTTTCGATTCAAATAAATAAAATTATGGAACTAAATATATAAATTCAAAAAATTCAAATAAAAGTACTTTTATGCTTTGGTCTGATTGTTAAAAGACTAGAAGTACATTAAAACTATTAGGTATCTGTTCAACTCAAAAATATTTGAGGCTTTAACATTTAGCCAATCCAGATGAGTTTACTTTGTTTCATTTTACCTTCAGAACATACAGTAGCAGTAGATAATATTTTTTCATTTTTGTTCTGTCATTCAACATGTTGCATTTTGTGTTTTAGTCATGTCTGAATCGCTACTAGTTGTTGAAGGTTGCATATTACTTGTCGTCCCAGCTCCCTCTGTGTTAGAAAAATAAATAATGGTTAAATATTATAAAAAAAAATCTATAGTAAATGTACTGCTTGTTAGAAACAGTACCACTAATCAATAATTCAAATAATTAATACTCTGATCAACCTAGTAAATGAACTTTTTCAATTTTTTTTTTTTTTTAATCCGGTATTGATTTGTCAATAAAATGGTAATACTGAGCATAGTTTTAGATCACAAACATTTTATTGTATGTATTTAAATAGTAGTTATAAATTGTGATAGAGTTATTGAAATATTATTATTATATCACACAACAACTCTTTATTTTATATTAGTACATCTCTTTATCAGTTTCAATGACGTCATACTCAAGTACATGTATTAGAATTTAGAATCACAAAATTACATTTTAAGTATACTTATTATATATTTGTAATGATTATATAGGTACATTTAATTTATTAATTGAATTAAATTATCTCAATTTTGTTTGAATGATATGTTATTAATATATCCAATATACACCTAATCTAATCTGTGCATTTGTTGAAATCTATATTTGTTAAAAAAATATAGATAATATTAAGAAATCTGGTAAGTGGTGATGTTCAAATGAATATGCTTGAAAAGATAATTGCATTATTGAATAACTCAATTCATAAACAAAAACATCAGGGGGCTAAGACACATAATTGTTGTACAATCTCCCATCACAAAAACATGAAAATTTTTTAAGTGTTTAATAACACCAAAAAACCTTCAAAATAATCCAGTATAAAATCTAAAACACAATTTGTGGTTACTGATGAAAACATTTGTTACATTATTTCGTCATATTTAATATAATCAAATAAGAATTATTTTACCATTTGTTGTCAGTGCTTGTAATCGGTCGGGTAAGTCAGCCGTGGACGTCAGTTTATGTTCACCTAGTATATCTGGTAATGCATTCCTTCTGCCAGTTCGTCCAGTTGTTAGAAAATCAGGACTGATATCAATGTATTGCACTTGAGAGACATCTTTATCTTGATTACTTGTCATTTCTGCAGCTACCATCCTCAATGCTACACATAATTTAGACCACTATTATAGCAACATTATTTACTGATTAGACATAATATAAGAATACAAGCAGAAAATAAATAACATCATTAGAATACTCAGAAATGTGTAATACGCATGAATGTTTAAGAAAACCAACTACCTTTAGGTAATGGATGATTATGTCATTATATTTATTATCGATACATCACTAATATCCATGCATTAAGAACTTTTAATGTACAAAATAGGAGAAAAAATTTATGAATTTGAAGAAAAGAAGGTAGAAAGCAATTCAATATGCACATAATATTATTTACTCACAACTATTACTTATACACATGAAATTAGATGTAAAAATATTATTAGTATCACAATTACAATTTTGAAAAACCGAATATTATATCACTATGTTGAATTAAAAGCAATATCTAAATCAATGGTATTCTAAATGGAATTATTAGTATTCAGAGTTTTGTCTGTATTGTCCAAGTGAATTTTAAACAGTTAAACGGTTAATCTTTTTACCTATGACATCCATCAATAATCATGCTGAAAAATTGAATTGGAACATTCAAACATTAATATRAAATGGACAATCACACAAGATGGGTAAACCACAGATGCACAAGTCGATATGGAACAAGTAACACGTAGGTAAGACAGATTCACCTGATTTATTAAATATATTTTTGCGGTGCTTGCGGAGTGATATGGACTTGTCACACAGGCCATTATCAGCCGACTCTGACGCCATAGTGTCGTTGCACTTAGGTACCTGCATTGTTCGACGAAATTCAAGGAGCACTGTCAGCGGACAGACAGCGAACGGTGGCTAGGCGTCGGTTGCACATTGTGCGCACCACCAGCCGTCCAACGACGACTATCRGCCCTATCAAAGTCTGGACGTAATCTAGAGGTTAAAAGACAGACGCGCGGGTCGAGTCTAGAGATAATGGTCGCAAGTCACGCGAGCGAGCGCATCACTCAATTGGCGGCTAGCAAACGACGAGAGTAGGGGAAATAAAATAAAAAAACCAATGAATATTATTAAAAAAGCGAAACGGCGACGAAGACGAAATGTTATTATAATATTATTAATGGGACTACAAMTGCCTACAACTGCTCGACAACCGACGATTTACGAAGGAGGCGACGGCACCAGCACTAGACCGTCCGACGCGCATAACTAAAACTTTACACAATAACATCGTTGTCGTTATTCGAGCGACTGTACCTATTGTAAATACGTTATTATCATTAAAATGTTGTATAAAAA